AGGAATCGGACATGAATACCTGTCTGTCACTTTGTCCAAAGGGTGGAGTAACGGTAAGCGTCCGTTCAAATGTAGTGGAGTAAAGAGTACATATATTCAGTCACAAATGTAGTGGAGTAGAGAGTAAAAGTTGCTTATATTTTTGATACTCAGTACAAGTACAAAGTAGCCAAAAAAATACTTAAGTACAGTAACGAAGTCCATTTACTCAAGTACTTTACACCACTGTACTTACCTTGAAAGATTGTTTATAAACATAAATGTCATTTCCTATAGTTGTCCTCTTAGTCTTGCTGAAAAGGATGAGTTCTTGGAAGAGGAACACATGGCGAAAGTGTTTCTTTTTCTTGAAGGACACCAAGAATTCATTCTGACGGATCAGAGGCCCTTGTTCCTTCAAATTTACCTGGAACAGGAAAGAGAACCACGGAAGCTTATTGATTTAATGAAGTGGAGCTTCACTTGCCTTGTGTCTGCTCCCTCACACCCTAATCACAGGCACTCACATCACAGCCTTGGATATCTTCCATAGTGAGAAGGTCATTCCCATGGCGCAACTGGAAGCAGACAACTTCTAGAGCTGCTTGAATTTCAGCTCTCTCACTGCATGGCAGTGCATCACACTCCCTCAGCAGGTCCTGCAGCAGCAGATTGTACTTGCTGATCCGCTGTACTGGCTTCAGCAGGTAAGATGACAGATCCATCTTGTCTCCAAGCTCCTGCTGTTTCTGCTATCATTTCAAAAATACAGAGGTGAAAATTTCAGGTACAGAAAGTAAAAATCCATGATTTAGTTTCAACCAACCAGTTAAGTATAAAGAGGCACAGTCACAGAGTACTCTGGTTGGTTGAAACAAAATCTTGGTTAGGGTTTTTACTTTCTAGACCTGAAATTTCCACCTCTGCAAAATGTTTGAGGTTTATTCAAGAGTGCAGAGAATTAACAGTAATGAAAAGGTACAATTGTCTCACTCAGCTTATCACTCAGGGTCTCTGTCTGCTAACCAGGGGGTGGTAGTGTGCCCCCTTCGTTAAATTTGCCGACCAGGGGGGTGCAATGGTTGCTTGCCTGAAAGAAGCCATGGGCATGGTGAATGAGCAGGGCATCAGATTGAGGTTTATTCTTGCTGTAGAGTGCATACAGGCTGAAACTCTCTCTCTGAGTTAGGAAAGAAAGACATAATTAATTAATCTGTTTAAGCAGAGGGGACCACAATTAAACATACAGCACGAATGATACGTATCGTGAGTATTGTATCACGGGCTACTTGGCAATACCCAGCCCTACATTACTTTTTGTAATTATATTTTTGCCATTTCCATTTATAATGCACCATTAATTGGTATTAATTTATGATTTCTTAGCATCTGCAACAAGGTCTTGTTTAGTGTTATAGGGCAAGGGACACATGAATCTGGGTCATGGATGTAGGCATGCTCACATGTCTCAGAAAACAACGCCCCACTCGAAGGGGCTCCTGGAGGCAGCTTTCCAGTTCCTTGAGAAAAAAGTGGCAGTGGAAGTCATGCAGCTTCTCCAGATTGCTGAAGATGCGTCCGCGTTGGCCTCGAAGGTCCTGAGGCACATCTGGCCTCTCCAGCAGGGGGTAGTAATGGGTCATAACATAGCTCAGTGAGCGCACATATTCCCTCTCTGTCAGTAGTAGCTCCTCTATTATCCGCCGGAACCTCCTGACAGAAAAGATTTCATGGTTACCACATCTACCAAAAGTCCTCAATGGCAAGTCCCTTCAAAACGATTAATTGGCCTAAAATGCTTTCCTTCAACAATCAGAAGAGATTCACAATTTGTTCAGTAAAGGACACATGCAGTAAAAATTTGAAGAAAAATACTCATTATGAAACGCAAGTTTCTAAAAAATGCCTGCAATATCTTTGTTTAAATTTTATACGCGTTTTGAGGGATTAGCATACCATCCAGGTACAGCCTGCCTGATCATATTCTAGGACACACTCCGAACCTGTACTGAATAAGTGGCTTAGCAATACTGGATAGATATATGGAGTAAATTTACAATGTTATTTATTTAATTAATTGGAATTTATGAATATATTTGCTAATATGGATTAATTAATGGAATATGGATTGTTAATCATCATTTCTTGCAATATAGATAAACAACATACATGAAACAAGTTCGTCTCCATCTATAATGGAATACATATATATATTTTTTTGCTCATCTGACTTTATCAACTAGGAAATGTATAAAAACTTTACCGATCAAGATGGGCCACCCTAGTGTATTTCATTATGTATTCTGAAAGTGGGATGAAGAGATGTGACTCACAGAACTCTGCTGGCTTTGTCCTTTTCTCCATCACATGCTTGGGTGGCCTGAGTTGTGAATGAACATGGGATCTCAGTCTGCAGACTGGCGGTGGCTGACTGGCAGCTTGAGTCCTCAGAGCAGAAGCTGCCATGCCGAGAGATTTGGAAGCTCTGTGCAGCCTGTAGTATGTGATGCGATGGCTGGCCATGACCCGGATAGGTGTCTGGGGCTTCTAACCCATGAGAGATTGACCTGGCAGTGGAACCCTCACTCAGAGATCTGCCTAGGTTTCTATGCCATGCGAACCATTGGCAACTCAAGGAGTCTATGGATGGCACATTCATCTCAACTGCACATTTTGCAGAGCACTCTTTCAAACTTTTTGTATGGTTTCTTTCCTCTTTTGTAATTATACATTCCCCTGTCGCGTTTTTGTTAGCGGCTCTTGTTTTTGGTTCTGTGCGTGCCTCATTATCCAGCTTGAGGGTTGCATTGCAGCTTAAGACTGCATTAGCCCCGTAGTCTATATATGTTGGCACTCCAAGTGGTTTGGTGAGGGATGGGTTTAAATTGGCCAATGGTACTGACAAAGCAGATTCCTCGTTTACCCCATCCCCTCTACTTATATCCACTGGCCGTTGGACTTTAACAGGATCCTGCAGTCTCTCTTCCAGCTGCTTGCGAACCTCTTGACATCTGAGCCAGGCAACATTCCACACTTTCATTCCCCGGGAGCCTTTCAGAGCACAGGCTTGAGTTTTAACATCCTGGAAGCGCTCCACTGAAAATTCATCAAACCTTTCCTGGTACTTTTTCAGTGTTCCAAGACTGTTCTTAGCTAGGCAACAGCTGGGCTTTATCTGCTCAAGATATTCCGCACAGTCTTTTGAAACTTCAATGGCCTGGAAAAAAAATTGAAATGGGCTTGAAATACTTTATGTGATAAGCTTGTTCCCAAAATCGAAACTCAAGATACAAAAAAATTACAGCCCTGGCTCAGACTCACCTTTTCACAAAAGTGAAACAAACCTACCAAAGTCTTCAGTTCGGTATGACATAGTTCTGCCCGTGATTTGAAATCGGCAAGACTAGACTTGAAAGTATAAAGCATTGTCTGGAAAATCTCTGTTTCAGTATAGGAAGACTCCAGGATTGTCTCAACCTCTGTCACTAGAGTTGCGGCCTGGTGTTGTCGCTCCTAGAATTAAGCAAGAGGGACATTAGGCATTCTGTGAATTTTTCAATGGGTCGCCTTACTGAATTTTTAACATGGTTTGCACTTCCTTACAGCGGCCTGAGCCAGGAAGGAATCAAAGTTCTGCATTGTCTGCTCCACTTGCTCCAGAGAATCCTCCACAGTCTCTGCCTTCAATAGTTGCTGTTCACCCTCAGCACTGAACCACTCCCTGATCTGCATGCAATACAGGCACAGAACAGACATGCACTGTTATGAAAAAAATTTGTAAGTTTAGAAAGTAATGACCGTTGATACAATTACTGTGTCAGCAGTAGACTAAGACTTAGGACATAATAGCTAGCAGGTTCAGATCCAGACTTACTTTGGAAACCTAGAGAATAGAATTTGACCTGACCTGAAAAGTAAGGGATTCATGGGAGAAATGATTGTTGGGATATATAAATAAAATAAACATTTTAGGTAACACATACTAAATAATGCTGTTCCGTTCTGTAACCTTACTTGAATAAATGGGCTTTACATACACAAATATTTATTTACTACAGTTTTCCACTTTAATTTATGGTTCATGGGCTTACCTTGGTAAATCTACTTTCTAGCTCCCTGAGTTTGAGCAGAAAGTCAAGGTGTTGTAGAGAGTAGTTGGACTTCATCACTAGTGTGTGCACCTGCTCCTCCACATGGTTGTACAGGCTGGTTACCAGCTCCATGGTGTCACTGTTGGGACAGGGTGATTACAAGTATCTGTTTCAGCAGAGGAAGGCCACAGCAGATGGTCTGGGTAGTAGTTTAGGTAACTGGAGTTGGGATGAAATGTAACAGATTTAAACTGCCGTGGTGTCCTGTCTTCTCTAAAGTCATTATCAGCACAAAATGGTTTTCGAGAATCCCACCAGGAACAGCCACTGACCGGTAGTCTTCGGAATGTGGAAATCGAGACTCCTCCCTCCTCAATCTTGCTAAGATGGCCCCACCTTCCCTTTGTAATGTGACCAGCCTTGTGTCCTCAAGCACTTCCTTCATCAGTGTTTTCTCTTCATGGATACACTGCTCCACATCCTGCCACACACAGACATAGCACTCATTACTTTATATCCATAGCAAACTGTTGATGGCCCAGATTAGATTTCCACAGTCTCAACATGAACAATTTTGAGACACGATTTCAGATCTGCTACTAATGAACGAACGTGTGTAGATATGCATGTCTATATACCACATATAACCACTTCTCTTGTAACGTAAAGTGTACCTGCAATGTGTCGATCTTTTTGTTGCCCTCAAATTTCCCAATAGCTCTCTGAAGCAATTTGGAAGCCTCTTGAAGGTCAGACACAAAGGGATCCAGTTTCTGGAACATGAAGTTTTTGAATGAGATACATGTTTAGTCTGCGTCGAAACTCTGTCTGATTCAACCATCTTGGCATGAGAGCATTTCTTAGATGTTGCTGCATTATCCTTCATACCTGGTTCAGCTTCAGCCAATCAGAATGGCTGTAAGGGAAAGTGCCTTCCAAGCTGACTGTTAGCTGGTGTCCATCCACAACCTTGTGTAGTGCTTTCAGTGATGTTGCAACTTCCATCTGGTTTAACCAATCCAACATTAAGACCTAATACTGACACTGCAAAGGCAACGGACTATACACATCTTTGAGAAAGTGCCCTCTCATAGACTAGAGTTATATCTGACCTGCAGTCCAGGGTGCTTTTCAGGACGAGGGTTTGTGTCTTTGTCCACCATCATGACAATACAATGCACAGCATTGAGGGCTTGCTCCTGAGCCAAAAGTTATTGGCATGGACATGAAGGTATTACAATTAAACGACACGCTGAAAATCATTTGATACTTGACAAGTCAATGTCCGAACTTCTGTTTGTGAAATATATTTTATTTTATATAATTTATGCTTCCTTTTCCAAAAGCATCATAGTGCTATGATAATTGTTCCACTGTGTCCATCTGCCTGACCCTCCCATCTCCCCCCAGATGTGACCCTAATGTATAGTGCCTGTCTGTCTTGGTAGCCCCAGCCTGGTCAGTGTCGTTACCCATGTTGTTGCATGCATCAGTGCCTGTTTGATCCCTGCTTATTTAACTCCTTGTGTTTGGTCCATGTCTTCCTCTGCCCCCAGTTCCCTGTTAGGTCCTGTTTTGTTCCTGATTCTGTCTCGTTTGTCTTAAAAACCCCTTTATCCCTCTTATATGGCTGCACTTGGGTTGTTTCTCTCTCTGAACATGACACACCGGACTTCACCAATTACCTTAACTGCCTTATCGACAAAGTGTAATGATGCTTATAGGAAAAAACTAACGAAAAATGTATTATGTGGTTTATTGTGACAAAACATACAAAACGATTGCTGATATACTCGCATTTCAAAAGCAAATGTGGAGTGAATAGAGTTTTACTGCGGTAGATACTAGATGGAAGCCAACTTACTTGTACCATTAGCAAGGCCTTATAGAATCCTGGGGGTGGGAGGGCCTTTCTTGCATCGACTACAAGGGTCATTCCCAGGTCTGCAACTTCTTTCCTGGAAAACCATGCCGGAGACTGTCTCATATGTTCAACAGTACTTTTGGTTTTCTCCACCTCTTAGTCATGTCACCCCACAACACTATAACATCACTTTGTCAGTGTGTTACAGAATGTAACAAGTCATTTATTACTAGATTTTCCCAATAGCAAATGTAGTAAATAAGCTGCAAAGAAATATCATGCATAGCAAACAGAGGAGCAGTAATTACATGTAGTACTGCTTTAAATTTCTAAATAACTGTGTGTTTAATATATATATGTCACTAAAGTAGAAAACATTGCAACGGATATCAGGTTTTGAATGGCATAAATAAAAAGTTAGTATTGTTAACAATGGTTTATGAGCTTATTACAATCATGTAATTGATAAAATGCTTTTTTACAATAACTAATAATCTATTAAAATATAATTTCATTACAATTCAATTTTAGAGTAAACAATAGTAGAAGTATAGCCTGCCAGATATTTTTAGTACAGGAGTCACTCATTCAGTGCTGCTCACAGCTATCAGGCATCAACTATAGTCTTTACATAGCATTCTCCTTGATGCAACTGGTGGGCCACTACAATCCTGGTATGTCGTTATCAATATCAGTCTCATTTATTTCACCTTAACCTTTTTACACCAGTAGACCATTCCCTTGGCTATGGGAAAAGAAGGGAGTTGTAAAAACCAACAGGGACAGAGATTAGTTGTGTCCCACCTTGGGATGAAGTAGAAGTGGAGTAGCAACTTGCACAGCTCCTGACTGGAGGCAGACTGGGACTTCCAGCCCTGGTGATCCCCATAAACCTCCACAACTGCTCTACCAGTCCGGTCTCGGCTGCCTGAAGGAAAATTTTCATGTATCGTTACCATGGCAGACAGAACCCCCCCTCCACCCAAACACGCACACACAGATACAGAACATCTTTAACTTTATGAGGGACTTTCCTAGAATGACCCCTTTCTCTTTTAACAGGGGCAGAGTGGGATGACATCATGTAGCAAACCTGCCCCCACACACCTTCAGCTGAAAATATCCAGCACTGGATTTCCATGCTTTAGCCGGCAAAAGAAAAGAAAGAAGTACATGGAAAAATCTGGAACATTGTCTGTGTATGATTGCAATTACTGTGCTTGCAAGGGTAGTTTGCATACTTCACAGGATCACAGAGCGAAGCTGGAGTATATACAACTCAGCCATGGGGTATTGCATTGTACCTACAATTATACCTATTGTATATATATTGTATTTATTGTATTGCATTTATCATTGATTGTGCCCTATGTTAGATGCTGCCTAACTCTGCAGGGAGGAAAGCAAGTAAGAATGTCGTTATACATGTACAATGACAATAAAGTTTTGAATCTTGAATCTGAATTTGCCTGGGGACAGAACAACCTGTAATGCAATCTGCATTCATACAGTAAGCTTCTTTGGCTTCAGTGTTTGGAAATTTTCTAGCTCTTTAATCTCAAGCACTGCAAAAGAAAGGTTGATCCCTCATTTAAGATATTCAAGACAAGATCCTGGGATGTGTAACTTATTGACTATTCATACAAAAGGGGACCTTTACCTGGAAGGCATGCAATTCCCAAATGGAGGAGGTAATTGCTAGTGTCTGCTGGAGATGGCCTGGCTAGCAGATATGGGACATCAGCAAGCACTTCTTGGGTCCTGTCAACCTGAGGAGCCTGGACCTTCTTTTGGTGTTCATTCACAGCATGTAAGGATGCTGTTTCAGCTACACCAGCCTGGACAGCATCTTCAGATAAGGGAGGACCTGGGGTAAATCGTCAACATCATGAAAATCCTCTCGTATAGCATGCTCTGTAGTGTCCACTTTATGAAATTTGGTTTTCACTTCATAGTTGAGATTAGTGAGACTCATTAGAAGTTATACTATTTCAGAATTGAAAAAAATGGAAAAATCTCTGTCTAGTTGTGATTATATGTCACGATATTATGATTTTAAAGAATGAAAACACTAGCTAAAACATCTGAGACGTAATAGGCAGGTTAAGAACATTTTGGAGAGACAGTACTAGATAAAAGTAGTTCCCCGCTGTACCTAAATTGCACCAAACCGTGAACCCAAAATCAAGGTTTGTACCAAATTGTGAATTTTGTGTTCTTATAGCCAGTTCCAATCTACAATGGCAGTGTATTGCACACAGGAAACTGGAGAGTCTGAAACTGAAACCAACTTCCAGCCTCTTATTCAATACAGTGTCACTGGGAATTCAGAATTTCATTTAGATTTAATATATGATTATATTATTTATTATTTGTCATTTATGGGTGCCTGGGGTGGCGATGGAGTGCTGTTTCAGTCCCATGGAGGGGTGACATTGTGGGTGTGACTTATGAAGCGTGACATCGCGGGTGCAGCCTTCAGTCTGCCACCTTGCACAGGCCAGCACAGAGAACAGGCTCATCGGTGGACTTTGGCTTTGCCCTTGACCACAGTTAACACCTTGTTTTTAGCAGGCTAGTCCACTCTTTCTTTTTCAATAATGCGAGGATGCCGGGGGGCAGCCAGTTTCTTTCTTTCTTTCTTTCTCTTTCCGTAATGCAGGAATATATCTCAATACACCACCTTGGGGCGACTCTTGTGGAAGGCACTGTATGGCAATGAATTTAGTTGAATTTAATGGTTCCACTCCAAACCTTAAAAATCTCGCTTCAATTTACTATGGCATTATCAGGACAGCAGCAACTACACGGACTTCTGTTAAACCACACTTACTGAATTCTATAAGATGAGCAAACCATCTTTCTACCATGACTGTTTTCACAAGTGATGAAAAGGTGAAGATACTTATTTTGTCGTGAATATTGCAATAAATTCCACAGGAGAAATTCAATAGTCGTATCTACTTGAGCCCAGTTTAAAGGCACTCTTTGCACCCCCTAAAATGTTTCAGTTTTCCCTCAGGTACATCTATAGAGGTTGTGGATGCTTTCAGTGCCAAAAGACTTTAGCCTTCCAGTTATCTCACAGCATTGTAAAGTTTAATAGCTTCTCTCTCTTGGTCAAAGCAAATGTGAGCACTGCCCCGCCACCTATGAGTAACATCCTGACTGTGGCTGCTTGGCTGCTTGGGCTCAATGCAGACCTTGGCTCCCATCCCAGCAAAGAGGCCACTGTACCACCCACGTTCTCTCCCTCCCCTAGGCTCACCCTCAGTCCAATGTCTCAGACATGCAGCACACCCTGCTCAGGGCGGGGGGTCATGCCCATTGCCTTCTGTGTGATCACCACATATCTTGCCTTGAGATGGAATGTGGCAGCTCTGTCTGGATAATCTACAAAGGGAAACCCAGGGTCCATTCAAACCATTTAGCGTAACTGAATGCACTCTTTTTACCGGGAGAGTAGACAGTTGAAGGATGTCAGACTTCAGTCTTCAATCACAAGGGATTCTTTTTAGCTGAGGAATCACGGCGATGTTTATAACTTTGAACTCCGACTTTAAACGACCAGCAATATTTTCCCTTTCCTTTCCCGTATAATGACAGGGGAGGAATATATAGCATTCTGAGCAGACTGCTGTAATGGAAGACTTCCTATAAGGTAAGAAACAGCCAGTGATGGCTACTGACCAAAATGTTTCATTTTAGTGAAGCAAACTACAGACTGAACCCCCAGGGTATCTCTTATCAAACAAAAAAATATGGCAATATATTGGAAAACATAATGCAGCATATTAAATAATACAGCCATGGTAAAAATTAAGAGACCATGGCATAACTTATATTTTCCAGTGTACTGCAATATATGTATAGACCTTGTATGGTAATATATTGATACATATAAATAACAAGATTTTGCAATGATGACAAATGAGTTAAGAAACATTTTGGTTCTTTTGACCCATTTATTTGTTTTGTTGAACCTCAAGCTCATGATTAAAGTTCAATGACCAAATAAGGCCAAATAAGAAATAAGTTTGATAGCGTGGTTTTGAGTTACTATATTTCATAACCATTAGACATAGACGGAAAATCATTTTGTATTTTTCCAAAACAGAATAAAATAATTTTATTTTTCTTGATTAGTCTGTGGTAATATATGGTAGTTATATGTAATATATTCCTTTTAATTGTGTACTCGTATGGCACATATATGTTTTAATATAAATGTAAATATGTGTAGCATATGGAAATCCATCCATCCATCCATTTTCTGTAACTGCGTATCCTATTCAGGGCTGTGGGGGGATCCGGAGCCTATAGGCGCAAGGAAGGGAACAATCCAGGATGGGGTGCTGACCCACTGCAGGGCACACTCACACTCACACTCCGTTCACGCTCACACTCACACTCCATTCACACATGCACACCTACAGGCAATTTGGTAAATTACCCTCCAGTTAACCTCAGCGTGTTTTTTGTCTGTGCGGGGAAACCGGAGTACCCGGAGGAAACCCCACGACGACTGGGGAGAACATGCAAACTCCACAGACATGGACCACGGCAAAGACTCAGGCCCAGTTCCCAGAGGTGTGAAGCAACAGTGCTAATCACTGCGTCGCCATGCCGCCTTTGTTCACAGATCTGACCAAGAAATCTGATTGGACAGACGGTGTTCTGTGAGTGCAGTTATCAGAGTGTAACTGCAATCGGACATTTCACATCAGATGTATCACTCCGCTTTACAGATGTACCTAAAAACCATGACTTAAGCGTAACCCTCTGGAGTCAGTGATGTGATGTGAGAGAGTTTTCACTGAGGAAATACTGTAAAAATACATCTCAGGAAAAATTACAACTTCAGTTCATGGATAACTGCAAATTCATATACGTAGTCACTTTATAAATTACAAATGTCACTTGTTGATTGCTACTGTAAAAACTTCATAAATATATGCAAACTGTTGCCAACTAGGTTATTCTTTTAGAATTTTGCACTACCTTTATGAGACTTTTTTGCAAGTACTGTATAAGACTACAAAGCATTCATTTTATTTAACTTATTAAGTTTCTCAAAATACATGTTGTAAAATATCTTAAAATAGTATGGATTGTATTTGCTGAAAATGTTATTTAAATAAAGATCATTGTCATTAAATATTGGCATTAAAATGGTAGTTTAAGTAATATGAATGTTATGTTCTGCTCTGCTTAACCTGTTGTTAACCTCAATTCAAATTTTAAATAATCATTTTTATAGACTTGAGGGAATGTAATCAGTGTGCAGTGTCAAGATAATCAACCACCAAGCAAAAGTCACAATAAACTGGCAAGCATCACAATTAATTATTTGTTAAATGGCACATTTGACATAAGGAAAGACAGAATCCTACCTTTATGGCAGATAAAATGTAGATTAAAGGAGCTCTCTTACCTTGTTTGATGCTTCTTCGTTTGTCTGTTTTTGGGGACACGAGTCCAAAAGCGTTTATCTTTTTAAATTGTCGTCTATGCATATTTGGAATCATATCAGGGCGAATGTCACTGATGCTCCTGCTGACTTTCCGTGGTACTTCAAGGCATTTTTTGGGTGTTTCCGACAAAAATGAAGAGGAGAGGGAGAGGACTTTACCTGGATGGCTACTACTGTTTTGTAAGTCCTGTATGGTCTGCTGATACTGGAATTCATCTTCACTCTGGGCAGTAGGTGGGCAGTGGTGGTTGGTATGACAGCAAGGCAAGGCCTGTTCTGAGTCTGCTCCTATCTTCTTGATGCCTAGAGCCACGTCTTTTCCCTCTGCCTCTCCTACACCCATGGTAGTTACACACTCTTCAAGAGCTTCCAGAGTACTGCCCTCAAAATTGACTGGGTTCTGTTGAGCTTCCAGGTAGGACTCCCGATACCGACCACGAAGCTCTTTCACTTCAGCCTCAGCCAGTACTCTTCTTATGCATGGCATACGAGGTTCATCCATAAACTTGCGGGTGTGGGTGCAGACCATGGCATCCAAGCATGGGTTGGGTAGAGTTGACGGGTCACGAGGGTGGGTGGGTGGAGCTGGGTATATAGGATCACAAAATGGGATAGGAGGGGCTCGGCGTACAGGTTGCAGTGCAAGGAGCTCTGGTGTCACCTGGTCTCTTTTGAGAACTTGAGCGTTCTTTTCTTTAGTGAACTCCACTAGATCCACGTAATCTCCCTCCAGTTCACGGTTGCTGTGGTTGTCCCAGGTGTTGGGGGACACCCAGCCAACAGGCTTCCCATTCGACCGAACTTGGTCCACTTTCATGAGCTGGGGGCTGCCATCATCCATGTGGCATAGAGAAATAGCAATGTCATCCTTAGCTGGCAGGATCCTGGTCTCTAAAGAGAAAGCTGAGGAGCCACCTGGCGACTCCGGGTGGCCATCTGGAGAGAGAGGAATGGCAGCCATGGCTTTGGGCTTGTCTATAAACTCTGGGTTGGCCACCTGCTCCCAAGGTACTTTCACAATGCCTTGGTCAGTGGACAGGAGGCAGTGGCGCAGTGGGGTGCCATGACGACCGTCATTAATGTCTCTAAGCCACTCCTCAGTGAAGATGCAGGGGTAGGAGGTCTCCGGGATGGGAGTCTCTTCAACCTGCCGGTGGTCCTCCAGAAGGCTCTTGAGGACAATGCGAGCAGCCTGGTCAGCAAAAGGTTCCACCTGCAGGTAGAAGTCACCCGGTCGCAGCAGCAAGGGGTTTGGATCTGCCAGCTGGATCACCACCTTCTCCCGGAGACACAGGGGCCAGCCTTCACAGCGAAACAGCACATCGGAGTACACCGCCTGGGGGCAGACATTCCATCCATGAAAAGAGAATCTCCACACTCAGTTAGACTTGTGGGCTTCTTAGCAACACACTGTTAGGCCCAGAAGCAGACTGTATAATCCCAGAGACTGATAGATGAAAATACAATGATTCAGTTTCAGATCCCAGCTGAATGGTTCTACACCCCCCTCTGAAAACACTGGAACAGCAACATCAATTAATTTGCTTTTGCTAAACATCCAAGACTTTTGGGTTTGAGATCAAAACATGAATATGAGACAAGAGTTCAGAATTTCAGCTGTTTCCTGGTATTTGCATCTAGATGTGTTAAATAACAGATAATAGTGCCTTTTCTATACCAGACAACCCAATTTTTAGGTGAACAATGAACCTGCAACTCGCCTGATATCACTAAGTTGTTGGTTTCTTCTTTTGTGATACTTTTCCATCTAGATGTAAATAAAGTAAAATAAAGTAAGAAGTAAAATCTGAAATTCTGGACTCTTACTTTACTTACTTTCTGGAAAGCTTTCTTCCATTGTGTCTAACAGTATGTGTGCATGCAGTACCCAGCAAATCTTTCGGAATGGCATGGCTGGTTTATTTGTTTTTGCTAAACACTGACGACATTTGGGTTTGAGATCAAAAGATGAGTATGATATGAGAGTTCAGAATTTTAGCTTTAACTTCCTGGTATTTACATCGTCTTTAAGACTACCTGTTCCTATACTACTGCTTGCCTAAAAACTGGGTGGTGTTATATAAAAGGTGCTATGTTCTATGTTGCATAACACATCTATATGTAAAGATCAGGAAGAAAAAGCTAAAATTCTGAACTTGCCAAAGTGCCAAAGTCATTTGGAATCTTCTGACAGGGAGGGAGTACTGTCGAATACCTCAGAATATAACAGCCTGCCTTAGCTGGAATGAAATCAGGTAACCAAAACAGACTAATGTAAGGGCATCCTCTTACACTACCACTAAAAAAATGTGGCTTAAATGGGAAAGCAATAGTGCTAAAAACTATTCCAATCAAGCTTTGCAATTCAAACCACAAGAATGCCCCAGGGGCAACCTGATGCTGAAAAAATGCCTGGAATGTTCGAGCAATGTGCTATTTTCTCTGTCAGGAGATAAAATAAAACTAAGTGTTTCAGGGCAAACTTAGGCTGTGAGCCCAGAGCTCGCACTGGCTATGAACGGCTAACAGACACAGTAACATCATTGGAGCCTTTTAATCAAACACAATGGACTATTTCTTCTTCTATGAGCGATAAACAAAACCCTTTGTTCGTCTACATTATTGAATATCATTTTAGTTATAATCTGACTGACACAATGAATGTTTGTGCAGCTTCGCCTTTCCATGCTATGTGGGACTGAAATGTGAGACATTTCATATTTACAGCACAGAAACATCATCTGTGCAAAATCAGCTACTTCTTGGCAAAATACTTTAGTTTTATGTTCAAGTGCAAGTCTTGGATCAGGCAGACCTAATTTCAAGAGAAAACCATGGCTCCAATATGAGGAAATCAATGACTGCTTTATTTAATTAAGTTTCTTATACCAAAGGATGTGCTTTATTCTGTAGCAACTGAAAAACTGGGAAAAGAAGGAAATGTTCTAACTGATGAAATGTTGTTTTAACAAAACTCCCAACAAACTGAAATGAAATATGACTCACACATTTCACTGAGACCTGCTTTAAAGAGACACCTGAAAATTTGTACATGAGATATGATATATGCCATTATGCATGCATATTTTCACATAGAAATGCAAGGTTTTAATTGCACCTCAGCATTTGTTTGTAAGGCCTCTGGTGTCGAGGCTTAACTTGTCTGAAATGCAGGAAAGCAAGGATATCCTGTAAAATAAATGCTCTCAAGAACGCCACAATAATAATTAAATCAGACAATATTTTAATAGTTTTGCTATTCTTCTTGTGAATGTAGCACATAAAAGAAGTTCTTAGAATGCTAATTTTTCAGGCAAATCTTCTGGCAAAGGGACTCACACAAGCAGCCTGCTGCACACTCTCCAGGATGTGCTTTGCGGGGATTAGGAAGTCCAGCAGGCACTGAAGAGAGTCACCGCGGTAACGTTCTTCAATGACCCGGAAGAGCTGGCTGAGGACTGTGGGTGCTGTCGCCTCAAAGGGTGGGTAGAGAGCCGAGAGGGCCCCTTGGATAGATGACTCCAGAGATTCAGGATTCTGTGGAAGAAAGTATCATCCATAAGAGCAGAAAAACATCTTGTAGGGAAAGTAGTCTAATAAGCTGTTAAGTAACCAGAATAACCCAGAGTTTGCCAGTCATAAATAGTTTGAAAATAACCACAAATGCCTGAATGATTGTAGGGAAATCATTTCAATTCTGTAAGTAATTAGAGTAAATCTTTAAGGGAGAGATATTTTCTTTTTAAGAACGTGTATGGACATAACATGGAGAATGGTATGGTGTTATGCCCGTCTAATCCATCCCATATTTGTGTGATTTTTATAAAGTGAATAAACAGTTTGCTCACTGTCCTTGTTTACATTCAGAAATCTGTGATTAACAGCTTCCTGTCTTCCTGACTGATTAGAGTACAGTAGTGTTATACAGCCAAAGGGCTTGAGTATGAGTATATGCACATACATTTTACAACAAAACAAAAAATACTGTAGGGTTGCCAACTCTCATGCATCTGGCGTGACACTGATGCTTCTGCAATAAATCATATGGCAAGTCCATATTATTCCATTATAAACCTAAAATTAGCTAAATCAAAAGTGTTGGGGTAGTTTGCAAACCATACAGACTATAAGGTAATATATATGCTAGTCATTTGCAAGCTATCACGGTACTTGTGTTGAATATAGTATATTTTCATCTTCAAATGCAGCATTTGTATTGAGAGATTAAAAATAAGTTTTAATCCAATATTATACAAACAAGACATCACAGTTTGACTGGAATACTGCTTGAAAATGAAGTGAATGCATAAAAAATTGTGTGTTATTGTGTTAAGTATGATATATAAAAGCAAGAGGGTACAATGTCACAGTTCAATGACCATGAACTTGGGAGGGAACAAGGGAGTATAGAGACTGAATGAGACTGAATGAAGAAGGACACATTGACATGATTGTCTCGTGAACCCATGAACCTGATGATAGGGACATAGCTTGCTTTCTTTATTTCTTTTACTGCATTGCAATGAGAAACTTGCATGAATTCTAGAGGCACCTTTAAAATCCAATCACAGCACATTTCAGTGCTCAATGGACTAGACAGGTGGAACAACACATGCAAGCAATTGAGCACTGAGCTTTGATTTCTGGTCTTACTTCTGCATTCGTCTGAAGGAGGTCCAGAAGTAGACATCTAAAGCACAGTGCTCAGGATCTGTTTGAGGGAACACTGGGCAGCAAAGACAGATATATACCATGGTTCTCAGATGCATGGAATTTCCTTTGGCGAATGGAAATGTATGTATAGTTCTACTGCACAAATCCCCTCATCCTCGCTGACCCCAAAATATGAATTTTCTCTGTGAGGTACTTTCTTCAACTAGGTGAAGTGTTATCTCTAAGTTGTCCATATTGTGTAACACTACACTAAGCTATGCCACACACTCATGTTAGAAGAACCAACAATAGCTGTCATATTTAGTGCCAAAAAAAACCCAAATCCAATGCATGTGTTAGAGTTTAAATGTTTCAATGGAAAAGTATGCTTCCTTTCTACTCTACTGCAACTCTACATGCTTTTCAAAGTACAATCAGTTTATTTGAATAGAGAAATACCACCATGATTTTCCCATAAGCCTTAATGTATTCCAGCTGTACGCGTGCGGAGAAGTTGTCTGCTGTCCTTCTGGAGACCCTAGTCTGAGGGAGTACCTTGGACTCTAAGTCACGCTGCTTTCTACTCCCCTGGGGGTGCTGTGTGTGTGTGTGGGGGGGGGGGAGGGGGGCATATGAAATTTAGCCTTGGCCCGGCAGAAGTCGTGGGATTTCGGACGTCTTCTGGGATGGATGCCCTTTCTCAGCATAGGTGACCCTCTTGATAAACATCACATATCCCTCTTGCATGAATCAGTCTCCTCCAGGCCCCATGTACTCCAAGTGAAGTTCATGGGGGGGGGGGGGGGTAATGTTGTCTTTATCCGGCTGCACTTCATTCCTTGCCAGCAAGCTCTTGTCCCCTTAGCCATGGGTGCTTGTGTCAGCAAGGGCTCTGCTCAGGATGGTTATGAAAGCTTTGTGTTTCCCTTTGTGTTTGTGTTTTCATGTCTGTGTTTGCATTAATAAATTGGAAATCCTAGCAACCCTGTTGCAACAGCCATAGACATTACTTTGAGATGAGGTTTCCCTTACAATAGACTGTGCAGCAGGAGTCAGATTAAACCTTGATGCTAATTTCGACCATTTGATTAGGCATGTTTTGCCACATTGTCATAATAATGCATAGTAGGTGTAAGTATCTTGACTACTACAGTGCGTGTGCAGGAAATTTTTACAAATCATATGAGCAAAAACAACATTATGTCAATTTATACCACAGCTTTAATAAATACTATTTCCTTATTAGTCCAGAAATGTCAGGTTGGTGTTGATTATTCTCAAATAATAGCAGGCAGTTCTGGCAGCCTAGTAACACTTTTATATTAAAAGTTGTAATGTTTTATTTAACATGTTAATACAGAAATCTGTGTGACTGTTTACTCATAAATCAGCAGTTATTCTTACTGTATATGCATATTTTTCCTTGGTTTCTGTCATGCCCCCTCATTTACCTCATGTGGAATCCCCGTGTTATCAGCTGTTTCTAGTTGTTGTTAATTAGCCTTGTGTATTTAAGTCCGCGTTAAAGCCATTAACGTCAGTCTTTCATGGTTCTTTGTGTTCTCGGATGCATTCTACCCAAATAAATCCTACATTACCCGGACTCCTGCTCCTTTTTCCCAGCTCCATGCCTGTTGATCACAACAGTTTCTTTCGTAACTTTCAATACTTATTTCAATACTTGCCACTTCCAGTGAGTAGCCAGACCAAACATTCTGTTCTTACAGGGACTATATTTTTAAGAGCACATTGGAACATCAGTAAGTGCTGAGTGAAATAATTTTCTTCAGAAAAATTAACCGTGAAGTTTATTCTATATATAATATTTTTATTTAATTTAATTTTTTTGTCCATTGGTCATGGTATAAACGGGATATATTAGTTATATAAGTTGTGTGGTCAGTGGTGTCGGAAGGACATTGGGGGGGACCGGATTTTACAACAAACGAAACTTACGTGATCAGGGGGAGTTGCAAGGTGTAAAGATGGGGCATAAAGCGGTGTGAGTGTTTGTTATTGTTTAGACTGTCGCGTCACGGCAATCGAGCTGAAGGAACTTGGTTTTTACTAGTCTAACAGAATGTCTACAAACACTGTGTGTACCTTTAAGAGTTTATAAGCAGAACTCATTGTGTAAAAGCACATAAACCTTATTTTTCCCAATTCACTGACATGAGAATAAAAGAAAACAAACACATTAATGTTTCTGAAATTATGAGGAAGTATTTAAAACATTAAACAGTCTAAACCAGGGTTTCTCAACCCGGTCCTCGGGGACCACCAGACGGTCCATGTTTTTGCTCTCTCCCAATTCCCTGCCAATTGGGAGAGAGCAAAAACGTGGACCGTCTGGTGGTCCCCGAGGACTGGGTTGAGAAACCTTGGTCTAAACAACAATACTCATCATGCCATCCGCCATCTTTACATCTTGTTAGCGTGACCCTAACCCTGACCCCGACCCTAACCCTAACCCCAACCCCCTGATCACACAAGGTCCGTCCTGAAACTGGGCGTAAACTTCTTGGCCTAAGAGTGTGGTGAGGTCATAGTTCTGCAGCTCTGCAGATGGATGATATTGGAGTCAGGAGCACATCCTGGGAAGCAAAGGGCACCGTGGCAGACACAATGGAGGTCAACCTTTGCTGTAATCAAGGCATATATATATTTTTTTTTAATTTTAACTTGTTCTCTAACGATTTGAAGCGTCAAGGTGGGGGCCCGTCCAACCCTGTCCTATGTGTTCAGTCCCAGTTTGGACAGCTGGTGTTGCTGGTCAGCCTGTTCCCTCTGTCATTGTACTAGGCCGTAGCATGTCTTCCCTGTTACCTGGGCCACTGCATAGCTCAGTGGGTTGAATACATGGTGCCAAGGCTGTAATCCTGAGTCATGGGTTTGAGGCCAGCCTAGTCTCTCCTAGTGTTGCCCTCAGTGGTGTCAGTATTCCTAGTGTTTATTTCCTGGTATGTAGTTATTAGTTTCTGGCATTAAGTTCCCTAGTTTTCTGTGCTTGTTAATTGTTTAGTTTCTCCACCTGTGGCCTGTTTCCCTGCACTGTGCTCATTGGTTAATTGTCTTGATTCACACCTGCCTTTTGTTAGTCCTCATCTGTGTATTTATGTGCCTGCCTTTGTCCTGCTCCTCAGTCTGCCATTGTACTGTGTGTTTGGGGCTCTTTTCGAGTTCTATTCCCTGTGTTTTTGCTTAGTTCCCTAGTTGCATTTTTTTTTTGTTTTGTTAAGTTATTAATGCTAATTCTGCTGGGAAAATGCAGGAAGCTCTAGATGGCAAGGAAAGCTCTTAAATAGGCCCTATTAAATTTGCATATTCTGTCTATGTGCGTCATGTGTATATATTATTGTGGGGACCAAATGTCTTGACAATGTGATTAAAAATTTGAACATTATTGGGTCCCCACAAGCGGAAATGAATTTTATAATGATCTGTGAAAAAAATTCGCACATGTGCTGCTTGTATGATTCTGGAGCACGGGGCTTTGTTCGAGATTTGTATGAAATTAACTGACTATTGAAGTTACAAATCTTTCTCCCTGTCACTCTTAAACAACCACGAGGCTTCTCAGTGGAAACCGGCTCAGAACAGACAGCCTTACAGACTGCTTTCTGAATTACTGACATGCTCATTCCCATATGTACATTTGGTAGTGAGTGTAATAACTGGGTGGTGAAACAAACAGCCAGTGATACAAATGTGCTTAAATACCACAGGCAATCTATGTTCATAAACAAATTTATTATCGGTAAATAAAATGTGTTCTGTTCCTTAGCAAAGATACAACTTTTTAAAAAATTGTCTCCACTCCAAGCATTCCCTTCCCATCAGAGTCAGTGACTTGCTATTAAAATGGTGTCACTCCGTAGGCATAT